CCGATATTCTTTACAGCTGCGTTGGACACCTTGGTGCAGTTGTAGAAGATAAAGAAGCCATCACCCACCAATAGGGGAAATGGACTGAAGGTTTTCGTCTGCTTTGAAATTATTATCATTGTTGCCCCCTGTCAATCATTGATTCTCCGTTCAAACTCCGATGTCTCTACTTGTTTGTGAATGAGTTCATGTAGTAATCGGAAAAGACACGAATCTTTAAATCATGAATACCTGTCACGTATGAAACACGGAATCGCTCTGGTAATTGTATGCAAGAATCTCCTGTCCCCGAGATGCAGGTGAAAGGCCAGAGAAGCAGTGGTTCATGTATTGAAAGAAATCAATGAGAATAAATAGTAGTGAAATAAGAATATCACTGGTGAACCGGGAATCAACCAATCACCATTCTTGTTCTCCAAGTGGCACAACTTCTGTTGGAACTGCATGGTCTTTGATTGGTCGATACTCTATTTGCCTGTGTTTTGCTGTCCAGAAACGGGAGCGCGTAGCCTCTTGGTTGGCGTTGTCTTGGACAGTGCAACTAACACAGTTCATCCTCATTAATTGGCTTACTTTCGAATGGTCAGCCAAAGTTGATGCGCATTTGATCCATTGGCTTACTATCCACATCGCTCCAAAATGTCGCATGCAAACAGATGTTCGTATGCTTATTTGACAACCTCCAATCCTCTTTGTAGCTTAACCCCGTCACATGTCCCCCATGCCAATTGACTCCAAGCAATCCGAGCTAACTTCGCCAATCACTGAGTGGTGTTTGCGGACAAAAAACATCCAGAACGCGAAGATATATGGTGCCTGGTGCATTGCGGTTTTCAATGAAGCCAACCCGCGACAGTTCACCATCTCTCACTCACACCCTGCTCAGGGTGGTAAGTTGTGTTTAATTTTGACACGGGATCAATTATTCGCATGATGTCAGCGCAGTATGAGTGCGTCAACTGAACTCATTTTGTTCACATTAGAGAGGTGAACTGAACAGAAGGTTGAAACAGTTGAAACAGAGATAAACTTGAAGAGAGAGCACAAAAAAGCTAGGTTGCAGGGTTTATACCAATGCAGATTTCATTGCATCTCAACTGGTACAGAACTACAGTTCACGTCGTTGAACAGTACATCAGTTTACATACGAATATGACAGGGACGGATCACCACACTTGTACCACTGTCGAGACAGCGATAATGTGATTGACAGTTCTTTTTGCACACACACACACACATACACACAGGCCAGGTTTCCATTTCCAGATTACAACCGACTCCGCAAACCTAAGCAACTGGGAGTTGGTGTTAGCATAACATAAAGTNCCTGTTAGGGCATGGTGTGGGACTTTATGGAAATGCTTTGGTGCATGTAGAGTGGAGCGGTCAGAATTGCATTTTCTGAAACCAGCACGGGGGGATGAAAAGAGAGCGGTCAACCTCCCCGGAGAATACCGAAGTTGGAAGTAGTGAGAGAGGAAACCTTTCCATGGTTACTTATAAATTGTTTCCGATTGGTATATTGATCAAACAATTAGGACTGAAGTGAAAAATCAATTACCGTCATGAAAATTGTACGCAGAGAATTGCGCAATACAGTGATTACTATTCTATCATCATAGAGAATCTTGAGTATATTTCTAAAGCGTGTCAGTATATATCGAAATAGTTACCGTTTTCGGGAATTTCAGCTATGTGACCACACACACAGACGTTCTTGGTGCATACAAGAGTTCAAAAAATAGTTCCGTACAATCGAGATAAACAAAAAATAAAAACACATATATACTCGATTATCGCACAACTGTGTGTCGGTAAACGCACACCAACACAGAAACTTGAAAAAAACATAAAACACATTAACCAATACTTGCCGGAAGTGCGTATAGGTCGATCATTGAGGAACCAGGAAAATCGAATATCCGAATTGTATGGCATCGATTTCAACGCACATTTCAATTCCAGTCGTCCACCCAAAGGTGCAAATAAAACAGCACCTTTCGGATCGATAAATGTGGGCGATACTACAGAATAAGAATGGGATTTTAGATGAGCGGGGGTAGAACGCGAATTGATCGTGTGAAGTAGCACAGTAAACCTAGAGCAAATGCTCATAGAAACATATGAGAGATTGGGTACAGACTCTGTTGTAACTGAAATTCTTCTCGGTGAGGAGTGAACAAAGTTTTGAAACCAGGGGAAATAAAACCATATATTGTGTTGTTGACGAACTGGAACTAATCTGCCACAAACGTGTAGCCAATGAACCAGAGCCATCCAGTCCTCGGTTTGAAAAGAACACTGGAAAAAGGCCTTAAGACCATAGATCAAAGCAAAATTCATGGTTCGTCAAGTTGGTTTCAGCAGAACCCATACCAGTCGGTTCGTCCCTTATTCAATCAATCAGATTTCCAAGCTTAATTAAAGTCAGAGTTAGACGAAATGAAAGATCTTGATATCCAATCTGAAGGTGTTTGAGTCCATTTGTAGCTTTCGTGATATCAGACCTACGGGTAAGTGGCATGACGTAGTTTGAACAAAGTAATAAGTATAAGATAGTTCATAGAAGTATGGACTACAATAAGTTAGAAGAATCCACATTCCAGATAATTCACTTGTATCATAATAGATCCGAAAAAGAAACGCGGTTGAATAATCGAAAAAGAAACCAATCATACATAAAAATGTTCACTTTATGCATATATATTTGAATGAACAGAATTTCTCAAAGGCGCACAATTAAACCGTGATACTCACTCGGTGTAGCTTCATGTAGTGTGCCAATCGACGCTGAAGTTCTTTGATGGCGTCCTATCAGACAGAAAATGAAAACAGTCAGCTCTTTATAACAAGGTCAGAGGACAGATCATACATCGATTAAAAAAAAAATAGTTTTTTGAATTTTGTTTTTCGATGCCACAGCCTGGGTGTCAGTTTGATTTTAGCGAACTTCATCCGAATAGAATCGATCACAAACGGACTACTCTCAGCGACACTACGCCGTCGGACATCGGAACACTCAACCAAGAACACCGTGGACATAAAAACCTACACCGTCAATGCCTTAAAATCTATGATTGGCGAAGCACGATCCATCGAGTGCCGTTGAAACTGTGCCTTCTCAGACTCGGCACTGGCGATAAGTCACACATCATAGCCAGCTTCAGTTTCATCTTTTACAACCATTTTAGAGTATCAAGTTTGGATTAGACCATCGATTGTTCAGAGGCACCAGGTACTAGTGATGGTCTTGGTTGTGGTCTGCATTCCTTGGGAGATCGCCAATTCCCACTAATTAAATGCATTTAATTGCGATAGAAACATTTGTGATGACCGACAAAGAACACTTGATACTCTACAATGATTGAGCCATTCACACAAGGTGATGATTGTTAACCGTGTACGTTGGGGGCAAAGGTTTGAAGTCCCAACTCGACTGATCGCGGTTCAAGTCCTAACACGGGGACACACAAAAGGTACACACTGATAATGAGTCCCAAACAGGACGAAACAGCTGTCCAGTGCTGTTTGTCGTTCATTAGAAATATTTCTATTAACCATACACTTTCGTGGGCCGGTTTTAGTTATTGTTTTTTTAACTGTCCTTGGTCACCTTTCTTATATCTTTTAACGGGGCTATTTCTGTACCCTAGGCCATTGTTAACCTTGTCTATTAGAACCTGTCACAAAAATCACATTTTTATTGGTAAGTTCAGAGAAAGGACACAAGTGAGGCTTGACAACAGGTGCGCTTAGATTGATTAAGTAAACACTTGGAACCGAAATCACACAGGTGGATACTGGTATGAAAAAAACACACGAAGCAGACCAACAAGTGTGCGGGGATTTTTTCTTCATGTCAACATACGATCACCTGCGGGAAGCCGTGTGGTTTGACCATAAGTGAATCGTCCATTCCCTAATCGAGTTGCAAGCAGTTCATGATTTGATTAATTGTGCAAAATTTCGAATAAACAGAGAATATATATTATGTATAGGGAACATTAACGAAGCAGATGCAGGACACTCCAAAATGTTCTTTCTACTCTCTTACGTAATGCCTGATTAATTGAGTGGTCAATTTTGAGTCGGTTTCATGAAACGGTCTGTTGCCATTCGGAGTGTCCGTGAGCATTAAGAAGGACTGCCTTGTGGCGTTACGTACAGCCAGTTCGTGTTTTTCAAGTATTTAATAACTCATTGGTCAGAAGTGCCCTGATTGTCATGTATGTATGCACGTGTGTGCACGTAGATATTTATCTGTCGAACAATCAGCAGAGGTCGCAAACAAGACCTAAAACGACCCGGTTACTAAGATGTTTCTGCCAAACTTGAATGGATGGTGGTTACTTTACCAAGTTCCTAGATAACTATTTATAACTGCCGGGTCTTACTTTCATAATTATCACCCCGGGGATATTTTTTATATTTTTGTAACCCTCAAAGTTATGCATTCATATCAAACATCATTTCAGTGCCTCACACAATGAGGTTCCAAAGGTATTCGTTTCAGGAGGCTAACCGGATTGCAAACATAGGGAGAAAAGATCGTATGAGTACTGTTAACATTTTATTGTACTTTATCAAATTCCTCTCATTTATGAATGTATCTGACTTGGTGGAACTTTTCAGCAATTGAGGATTGGAATCTGGAAGCATTTGTTGCCTCTGGGTTGATGAGGAGTTGAACTGATATCTTGCTCAGTTCCATCACAAATCATTTGCAGAAGACCTACCACAGGATGAGTCGAGTATCTTAAACTTTGGAGTGAGAGTGACTCGTTCATTTTGTTCTATCCTCTTCTTCCAAAGTTGAATGTGTCTGACATCACTACCTTTCCTTATCTCTTATTACTCCATTTTATTACAAATCTGATTTTGATGGGCTGAGAATAAAACAACCAAAGATTTATATTCCCCTAACACGGCTTTTTCTCAATCTATTGATTATCAGGATGGTTGCAAATACTGTTTGAGGTTCCGAAATCGGTACAGTGTCTAATCAACTAAATAAATACTCCGTTCGGGGGAAATAAAGCGGTCCTTACAAATAATGTCTGTCTGTCTGTCTGTCTGTCTGTCTGTCTGTCTGTGTCTCTTTTTTTGAGGACTCACTCGCTGCCAAATCAACCATCTTTCGAACCGGCTGACTAGGCTTTCCGCGTCCATAGTCCGTGACAGCGACCACACGAAGCCAGAATTCCTGTTCTGGATCTAGTCGACCTAGTGCCAAACGAGTACGTTTCACATTAGTCTCCAGTACACGCCACACACATTCATCATCGTCCGTGGACATTTTGCTGTCTATCATCACATTGTGCGGACTGCGCGCGACACCGCGGACTTGAACCTCATATGTGACAGGTGTGAGGGTCTTATCCAACGAGTAGGCTCTGGGCAATTGCCAAACCAACTCCGGAGCTGTTGTTCCGGCCAAAATATCCGCGGGCAATTCGACTGTTGGTCGAATGAAGCTCAGATCAGGTATCACTGAAATGCAAGTGAAGAAAGATGTATGGCCGTTAACTGTGGTTCTGTGAAAATGGGTTGATTGAAAAAAAAATAATGTAAGAAAAAACAAAATCAGATACCGTGAGTTTTTTTCGTGTGAGCGTGGTGGTGATGAGGGAGGGAGGGAGTTCAACCGATATCCATTAGATAGACCCAAACTTTATAATTATGCAAAAGAATTTGTATGAGAATCGCTATGCAATCATATGTTTTCGCAAGAAGTTATTCGAGATGAAGTTTTACAGTTTTAGATGGCGGTAAAATTAGATGGTTCTATGCAATCACCGGAAATAAAGCACATTCGATGTTCTCGGGCAAATAACATCTTGGAACTCGTCCTTTGACACCGTACTTTTAACTTCCACTGTATTGTCTCATTTCACATCGTACTGGTATTGCGTATTCACTGGAAGGAGGAACACTCGGTGAACGTAAATCGAATTTTCATTGTATCTGTTTTTGCAACTTAGCTGTTTACAATTGTTTTCAGAGTCCTTCAGTGATCAGAATAAACCATCGTTACACAATGTCAGAAGAACATACAGTAATGAACAAGCCCGTTTGCGGTGATTCATCTACAGGTTAATAAATGACAATTTATGTCAAAATTTAGTAGGAGGAGAAAAAATCACAAAATGAGAAGAGAAAGAGTCAATATTCCAGCTCCATGATCGAATGTTATTAGGCGCGAGTGGGGAAATAACTATGTCGTGCGCGAAGGCCATGAAGACCGAGTGGATGAAATTTTGTGTGTTTTCAAAGGTGAATGTGTCGTGTATATAGCAAATTAAATCGTCTTTGATTGTGCAACAAAATCAGGTGGAATATCTTTGAATGATTGTTTATACTCAGGACCGGATTTAACGAACGATTTGAACGGAGTCCTACTCCGGTTCCGAAGGCATGAGATCGGGCTGTCGGCCGACATTAAGATGTTTTTACAAGTTCACGTCCCTCCAGAAGCTAAGAAGCCGCTTATTTTCTTGTGGTACTCGGAGGGTAAGCTTCACTTGCCACCAGAGGTATATCAACTGAACGTGCATCCTTTCGGCGCTACCTTCTCGCCGTTTTCCGCGACGTTTGCTGTAAGACGAACGGTAGACGACAATCAGGCAGAATATGATGAGGAAACGCTGCGTGCGGTGCGGGAAGGCTTCTATGTCGATGATTGTCTGGTGTCAGTACCATCCATTTCGGAAGCCATCAGATTGTCCGAACAGCTAAGCTCCTTGTTAGCACGTGGAGGATTTCGCCTTCACAAGTGGGCCAGAAACAACGGTGAGGTATTATCTACGATTTCTCCCAGTGAAAGATCTTCCGAGCTAATTCACATCAACCAGCCAAACCATGGAGTACAGAAAACATTGGGGCTTTGTCGGAGCCTGAAGTCCGATTGCTTCACGTTCAAAGTGAATTTACCTGAATGTCCGTCTACAAAGAGAGGTATACTATCAATTGTAGCTTCACTCTACGACCCTCTCGGGTTGGTGGCTCCTCTGTTACTCCAACCGAAACAACTGATGCAACGACTGTGCAGGCAAGGTTATGGCTGGAATGAACTTACCGATGAAGCTACCCGGTCGGCATGGGTAACATGGCAAAATAACGTACGTGAAATAGAAACTCTCAAAAGTCCACGCTGTCTGGTTGTGTTATGGACCGCACAACACTCCATTTATTCTCTGATGCCTCAGAGAGAGGTTACGGCGCTGCAACATACCTACACTGTCAAGATGAAGCGGACCTACTCCACTGCAGATTTGTTATGGGTAAATCCAGAGTAGCACCGTTGAAACCTGTTACTATCCCGCATCTAGAACTACAAGCAGCAGTATTATCAGTGAAACTGATGGGATATATAACGAAAGAAATGAGGTTGAAGCCAGAGATAGCCTACTTCTGGACCGATTCTACCATAGTGTTACACTACTTGAGAAATACCAGATCGGCGTGCAAGACATTTGTCCCCAATCGAATTGGGTTCATTCGTGAACACTCCGATATTACGCGATGGAGACACGTGTCATCGCATCTAAATCCAGCTAATTTGGCTTCTAGAGGGATTCCATTCACCCGGCTTTCGAAAATAAAATTTTGGCTCAGTGGTCCAGGGTTTTTGATCAGGGAAGAGAATGAATGACCAACAAATATCTTGCACAAAATACAAGTAAACATCCCGGATTTGGAAATTAAACAGATCAAGGTTATGGCATCGGAAAACAGGAAGTATCCGATGGACTCACTTCTCTCCTTTTTTCATCATGGACAAAGCTAGGGCGTGCGGTTGCCTGGCTTACCAAATTCGAGAGGTTCTTGTGCGGACTTGCCCATAAATACGAACCCATAACGACTCAGAATATCAAGGTGGCGGAACGATGTATCGTGAAATACGTACGGGACCAAATGTTCAAGGACGATATCCGGTGTTGAAACCAGTTAGTGCGGGGTACCAAATTTAGGTCGGCACTTGACAAACTTCGACCAGTGGTCATCGAAGGACTTCTCTGTGTCGCTGGACGACTAGGTAGTAGCAATTTATCCATTACCGAGAAGCCCCCAGTTATACTTCCTCATCGCCACCCGGTCACGGATGCTATTGTGCGGCACTATCATGAGATGGAAGGACACATGGGTGTGACTTATGTTCTGGCAGGATTACGTAGAAAGTATTAGATTGTTAAGGGAGCTGCAAAATCACGTCGGCGAAGCCAGTGGGACAGTTGATGTCGAATTTGCCTTCAGCGCGACTGGAACCTGACTATTCGTTTGCAGTCACCGGGGTGGATTGCTTCGGACCGTTTTTTCGTTCGTGAAGGACGCACAGCTTGAAAACGTTATGGGTGCTTCTTTACTTGTCTGAAGACCAGAGCGTTTCATATTGAAGTGTCTTTCGCGGTTTGTATATTATTTAGCATGTCATTAATTAATTAATGACATTAATAGTACTTGATTCTGGTCTATTATTGAATCCCGCATTTGTTCAATCACATCATTATTCATCATCCAAGAACATTGGCGTTATGCAATACTCTGAACAGCTTTTCCAGAAGGTGCGAGAATCAAATGCAATGATGCTCGACGGAGGAAGAGTGTGTCAATCGCCCAAACAGTGCCATGCGAGACACAATGATGCGAACTATATCAATCATACAATCTTCGCCCAGGTGAATCCTCCCCTCCCTGATTGTGAATCAGTTATTGATGTTTGCCATAACCGGACAGCCTATGGGGAACTAAGCATTGTCTCTAGCAGGCACACAAGGTTTGATCGCTCTCGTTCCGATGCGATCAGAGAACTTTTACTGGAGGAAATAGAGTTGGAGTAATGTGAATTAGAGTTAAGGAAGAAGATTTTGGCAATCAGAAGAGGATTGGCTCTCGAAAGGTTGGCGACCAAAGAAACCATGAAGCCGAGTATTCTAACTGATGATTCAAGACACTCCACTTCTATTCCACCGGTTGAGTTAAGTTCGCTTGCAAACTCAGTGACTGCGATCGGTAAGGATGACATAACTCATGTCACGCAGTCGGATATGTTGGGAGAGGCTATTCACTATTCACCTTACTCTCCACGATTGAATCTCGCTAGTATGATAACTTAAAAGTTGTCGGTAGTGGATTCTGTCGGTCTAGGTCCGCACCAAGCTCACGACATTGCTGGGGGCGCTGATCCCAACAAACCTGATGGCCAGTGGACGCTATGCGACACGGTAGAACATTCGAAAACCAGCATCCTAGTGTCCGTTGACCCTGGTACATTAACTGTAAAGGTTCTATCCACGACGCCACTTAATGAAAGAGTCCCTCCGTTGAAAGGCGCTACCATCCTACGTGTAGAGCTGCAAGCACCGATGTTATCCACAAGATTGGGGCGGCATAAAACGAAGAGAATGAGGCTGCATCAAGGTAAAAACCACCTTTGGACTGCTTCTACATTATTTTGGAAAGACAGAAAAACCGTTCAAGAAAAGATGGCAACCGATCAGAATCTGCAGAGCAAAGAAAAGAAAGAGAGAGAGAGAGAAAGGAAGCCTCGGAACGAATGACCAAAGCGAGACATCACGCCTGTGGTAAATGGGGTGGTTCAACTTGTCGATCAAGAACATGGAGAGTTATTTAGACGAATACCCGTAAGGCTGCCTGTTAGAGGGAGCTGGGGCGCGTTAGAGACCCCACTACCGTTGGTGCACTCGGAGCGGTTGTGGCAAGAGTAAATTGTACCATTTCGCTAGTTGCCCAGTGCAGCGTGTGGAGTGGGTAGTAAGGAAAGCCATTCTGGCTTTGGTGCGGGAGTGTTGATTCTTCTCAGAATCATTTTGTGTTCTTTCGTCTCTTTGCGCACTCTATCGCTTCCTATATGTCCTGTGGATATTCGTTTCGTTCTGGTTATCGACTTCTTACATAATCAAGCGAGTGCATAGGTCTCTCAGTCTCTGACACCTCAATGGACATGCAAACACACGCACACCGATCACTTTATGACTTCAACCACACGAGTTCTCTTGTGACCTCCGTTGTCCCTTACTATTGGTTGACCTATGTTCCGTCTACTCTTGTTCTGTACCGGTTCACCGCTTATCATTTATCGATTATTTAACCACCTACGCACATGTGACCTGTTTTGATGGCGCCCTGGCAGTTACCTGTTCATGAACATACACACATACATGCATGCATGCACGCACGCCTGTCGTTTATTAAGAGGTCGAACTGTGTGCGCCAACTCTCTTATGATTGGCTCATCTTTTGGGAGCTTCATGTCACTGCCAGACTGGACTTAATTCTTTGACTCCGTATACTTCGGTCATATTCTTCCTTTGACACAGCAGTGAGCTGTCCCCTTTTGAAGCATCTTGATTGTAAGGTGTATTCCGACACAGCCGAGCACTGTCATATTCCTATTTGATGCGCTTATATCTGGAAGTGCCTTGACGACTGTCCCAACCCAGATACCTCACGAATCAAGTACCGTGCATGTGGGAGCCCAGTCCAATGGTCAGACCATCCGATCAACGGGATCGCGTCGTAGTATAATGGATCCCAAATATGCGGAAATCGCCCGACAGCTGTCTGAGTCATGCAGTTCTTTCGATGGTTTTTGGGTGTGGGATCTTTCTGCAGTCAACTGACTGGAAGAACCGCCCGCCTGCGGAGATTGTGACTGTTTCTCTCCTCTTTGTACACTGTGATATATCGCGGATGACTATTTCAAATTGGGTCAAATACCACCCGTCGGATTCGGAAGCAGCATTTAGGAATGATTCAGTGGTAATCGGCCAAGTTCGAAGCTTTCATAAGCCTGATAAATCTAAGAGTTTGTGGAAGCAGTCAGTATACCGTACTTCTGCCTGTGATCAGGATCAGGCAAAGGGTGAATTTAAACATTCAAGGCAAAAGGATTAGACCATTGATAAGCAAGGAATTCAATGTCTGATTGATTTATTGGGAATAAAAACAACTTACCGACTTGTGCAGGGATGGCCACTGCCCTGGACGGCTGACCTGGTCCGAATTCATTGAATGCGATCACCCGGATGTGGTAAGATTTTAAGGGATTCGGTTGACTCCAAGCCCAATGTGTCTCCTCAATGATCGGGCTTAGCTCTTCCCAAGTTTTGCTGCCGTCACGCTGGACCTGTTTTTGGTGGGGATAAATGAAATCGTTAAAAATTGTTCCATGCAAGTGAGTTATGCTCAATATCACCGTGTTTTCATCGGGGAAGAAAAACCACAATAACTTTATGGAATGTCAATGTTGGACCGGATCTGAGCTAACCCGTCAGGTCGCGTACCGATCCACATCAGGCCACACGCACGCTCGTGCGATGCTCCAGGCAGGCTAAGTCCAGGTTGGATGAATGCAGAACGAGTCAGCCAGTTATNTGGCCAATCGAATGTGTCAAGGACGCTTGTTGATTGGTGCGTCACTGTGCCGTTCTCGTATGCCTGTTTTATCTTCTACATATTTGCGTATCGAACCTTAATTATGAAACACACTCCGACTGTTGCCTCCAGTTTTGTTCTCTTCCCATGAGAGACATTCGTGTCAATCGTACGTTCGGATGGGACACAATAGTTATTGACATTGATTTAGAATTTGAGGATTACGGGATTACGGGATCACCATGTGATGTCACTCATGCAATCGTCGTTCTTCCGTATTGTTAATTGTAGAATGAGGTTACTCAGACTAACTCATTCCTGATCGAAAGACTCGGTCACATAGATCGCGTGCGGCTCCGTGGTTAGGGACCTCGGGATCATCGCCATGCATGCCTAGAGATACTGAATGCCACGACTGTGTTGCAAACAGTGGCGCTCTTGCATCTAGTCAACGTACGAGCAACCTTCACCTATATGAGTTCTCTGTTTTCACATTGAATCTGCTCTTCACGTTCCAGTTTTCCTTCCGCTCTTTTGTCCAAATTGGTCACCGAAAGACAGGAACCAAAACGACCGCACGAAGGTGCCTGCTTGCTGGTCGTAAATAAAACGGAACAACAGACATTCGTGATCAGATTAATCAGGGTGATGAATAATACGAACACTCAAGTAACATGCTTACCTGAACTTGGTATGTCATACCACGGTGAAGCACTTGTGGAGTGGTCAATCCTAACACGTGGCTAGAGTAGATCTCGCGCACATCTGGCTCCTCCCAGCTTATGATGTATTCATCCAAAGATTCCAGGGATACATGCGGTTTGCTGAGTGAAAAATCCGGAACAAGGGAGTCTAAAAACGAAGAGAGCAAGAATTCACTCAAACATTGTGGGAAGCAAGCCAATGAACTCACCGATAACTGAGAGAAAGGGAGATACAGGGACCTAGGAAAATCTGTATGAAACACTAGATTGTTGATGAAGTGCACACCACTTTTATCCATACCGAATACCCTGGACACCAAGTAGATTTTGTGATGCATGTGAGGTGGTTTTGCCGTATTCTTGTCAATTTAAATTTGACATACTAGCACAGATTGCGTACAAAATTCGAATGCCTCCTGGAACAAAGGATCATTTTAGGACAGTTTATTACAAGTGCAATCATTCTCGAACCAATCCGGTTTGCATTTGAATGTTTCTCAGTGCATATTCGAAAATATGCTTTTAGTCTTTACCTATCCGATTATCCCTTGGAACCCGCAGTCATAAATGCCGTACCCATCACCAGAACACACCACCGAATACCCAGGAGTCACCATAGAGAGCAGTCTACGGTGGTCCTCTCATGTGCTAACTTGTGTTGGTAGGCTGCGTCTCTTATCTTTTCAAATACGCAAGCTATGACAATTTCGCGTCAGGCATGAAATTGTGTGTTCTTTTGTCTATCAATGTATTTTCCTATCATACTTTATTGTTCGCCCGTCATTTTTCCTGATCTACTTAGAAAGGACTTCATTACTCTACGTCGCGGTTTGGTGATTATCAGCCGTGTTTCTATTATTCCTTTAAACACTCTGATCACAAAATTGTGTAATTTGCACATCACTTAATGTGAAAATTTTGCTCAAAAGATACTCGATGACTCCAGTCATTCGCTCAATTTCGATTTATCTGCTTACCGTTCCCACGCTACAACCCGATCCAATTTTCGCTGCTTACCCTCACGCATAAAAACATTCATCGCAACTGAACGGTTCCGTATCTGGCTCGTATTCTCATTGACAAGGCGAGGATCCGTAACGAACTAATCTTAAATCTACAAAGATGAACACCTATTTAATTTTTTATCATTGTTGTAAATGAATTTTTATTTCATTTTTTATCCCCTGGTAACGGTGAACACATTTTTTTATTGAAATGTTAGCACAGTTGCCCGCAAAAGACATATATAATACAATAATATAATACAGTGGAAAAAAAGATTCACCGTCGAAGGGACCGATCTGTTAGTTGAGAGTCGTAGACAACTCAACATTTATGTTGATAAGGGAGTCAGGTGTGTTGCTTCAAAGATAAACAATCCAAGGCGGCCTCCACATCACTGACATGGTCCATTTACTTGTGTCATGCAGTTATACAACCGTCAGAAAAGGATTTCCCAATGAGAAAATCGAAAATGAATCCAGTTTTATCCTGAATTATCTGCTGGATAGTGAGTAGCCAGATGATCGACCGGGAGAGTCTCTTTTCGAGGTTGTATATTCAAACCTTACGTACATCAAATCGATCCAACCCGGCCCAAATGTGGAACGCAACCACGCAGGGGTGCCATTGCTGGTCCGTTTCTGGCCGGCCGCTTAATCCGCGTGTGCAAAAACATTCGGTTCAAGCACCTGGGCTGTATTCACCTGATATGGATAGAACAAATGTGATTTTTGCACTCCACAACTCGGCAGTGTGGTATTTGTTGCCGGTTTACACATACACTGCGAACAATCTATCCCACCCACCCCCACAGCCAGGTGATCTGATCACAGTAGAGACGATTCCATGATTCTCAAAGTTCGACACTGCGGTTACGTATCATTGGCTTGTAAGATGAGCGAAACAACATTTTTCTAGAGTGAAAGGTTGATTATTTTTGCCGGATCGCCGGCGATCGACTGCAATCGTGTACGTCAACTAATTATGAATGTGTTTGGTCGTGCTGATTGATGGGATGATGGTTCTATCACCGCAACTAGCTGGTAGTCAGTGTGATAGACAGACAGACAGACAGAACAGGGTTTTCCACTCGTGCTTATGCCTATGCGCATCAACCTCCAGCCCCCAGCAGAGCTCAAATCATAGATAGCTATCTTGGGAGTACATCATTTATCACGTAATTCCTCGTTTAAAGTGAGCCTAATGTAGACGGTTTATTTGATCGTATTTCGTGCCCGGTTATCCTTTTGGAATTATCCTCTGTTCCCTTTAGGAATTCATCTTTGATCTTGTAGTGTATCTGAATAGTCAATGTGTTGTGGCCTTGTAAACTTTATAGAGCCCTCTCACAGGCCCACCCTAGTAAGCCATGAAGGCGAGCTTGAAAATGATGGGAATTGCAAGGAAACCTCCATGTTTGTATTTAGGCTAAACGTTTTATTGCAGTGTGGTATTTATTCAGTTGTTTTTTCCACTTTATGAGATACCGAAAGATGGAAATGAACCCCGAAGTTGTTGACACAACCAGTGTATCACTACGATGCAACTGAGGTTTCACTTCCAGCTGTAGGCATCTTTATTTCTCCACGTGCACATGTTCGTTCCCCGTGTAATAATTGGTTGATCAATCCAGCGTGTTACCTATTTTGTGTTCATGTTGAACATCTTTCTCTATTACTACTACTTATGATTCTGTTGTATCAACTTGTCAGAATTCTGCCTGTTGCACTTTGAATTCCATAATTCCATAATTTATCGATCAATCGATCGTCCAGGATTATTCGTCTGTATGCCTATCAAATGTGATACGGGTACGCACACACGTACGGAACCAAAAGTTTGCGTATGTGTATTTACGTATTTGTGTGTGACTTCTGGGTCCAGGTCAGTTCGTGTAATCGTACGAGGCAAAATCTGTCCCGATCCACCCACTCAGATGTGCAGTCGTAAAATATTCCCACAACTCCTGGACTTAAATCAAAACAGTGGCATAGGGGACACAAATATGTGTACTACGGGAGCATCAGTCCAATTCGCCTAATCGATACTCGGAAAATGTTTAGGACTAATGAATTTGTGTTTATGTGCGCGCGAACGTAAGACAAACTGTGCTAGTTGACCAGATTTGATTATCCAGAGTACCTTATGTTTAGACTTCTTCATGACCTGATCGATTTCATTTGAATTGGTCACTGAAGGTCACAGTATGTTCAAAATACTGAATTATTACAATAGTACTTGATGTCTTAGGTCCATCATCATCATAGTTGTAAGGCAATCTTCGTTCTCAGATTATGCAAATATTCCGCTGCTGCTCACATTTTTTTCGTAGCTTGCAAATTTATGAATAAGATGTATCAAATGTGTACTAATGATGAGTATGTGTTGAAGAAAGAGAAGGATAAAATAGTTTTTCAGTAGGTTTTTTTGTTTGACAACGGTGATATGAATTTTACCATGGACTGAGTATTTTCAACTAACTGAAGCCCCAACAAATAATATCGTTCTGTAATGAAGAACTTTGTTCAAACAGATGACTGCGAATGACTAGTACTGATCTCCTCGATCCAGAATTCAAAAATGAATAGAATCACCACTGATATGAAACTTCTACACTCTTCTTCTGGACAGTCTCTGCCTGTGGCACTCTCCTACGGGAAATGGAAGGGACTTTCACTGGAGGGCGTTCAAATGCCGTCCATGCCCCAGCACGTGGGAAGCTTACAGGCTCATTCGGAACCACTGTACAAATTTGGTGCGGGAAGACAAGCACAAGTATCAGGATATGCTGGCGAGAAAGTTTATCGCAAACCCCAATCTATTGTATAAGCATGTAAACGTTTACCGGAAAGTCAAACACGGTATTCCGATACTAAAATCAGCAGGACGTGTTTCAGTGACGACCAAGGAGGCTGCAGAAATACTGAGGCTACAGTACTCTCAAGTGGTCAATGCGCCCAGTAACACTGGGTTCGTATTTCCCCGTTTGCTGGAACATATTCCTCACCCATTACTAACAGACATTATCTTTTCCCCCGAAAAGGTAAAGGCTAAGCTCATGGCTTTAAAGAACTCATCACCGGGTTTAGATACCAT